AAAAAAAAAAAAAAAAAGAAGTGGGTATATGGAGGTTCATGATACTATTCCTCTTCTTTTGTAAATGTTTGATTTTCCATGATAAAAACAATTATAATAAACAAGAGAAAAGAGACTGGAAACAGCCAGGTGGGAGCAGTGAGTGAGTGAGGAAATCTGCTCTCTCCAGATTCCCTAGGTTTCTCAGAGAAGATCAGCACAAAGTCTGCGAGACCCTAAGAACCATCAGCCCTCAGCTGCACTTCCTCTTCTCTGAGAATGACAAAGGTGTTACTCATCTACTTGGTCAGCAGCTTCCTTGCCCTAAATGAGGCCAGCCTCATCGGTCGCTGTGACTTGGCCCAGGTGCTGCGGAAGGAGGACTTGAATGGGTTTAAGGCCTACTCCCTGAGTGACTGTGAGTGCCATCAGCCCTCCCCTGCCATTTCTCCCCTTCTTCTAGTCCTGTCCTACATGGCCAGCTTCTTTCTCTCCTGTTCATCTTTCAAAGCCAAGTTCAAAAAGCAGCCTCCTTCAAGAAGCCTTTCCCAACACTCCATATTCATTCAACAATTACCATTATTATTATTATTATTATTATTATTATAGATGGAGTTTTGCTCTTGCTGTGCAGGCTGGAGTGCAATGACATGGCCTCGGCTCACTGCAACCTCCTTTTCCTGGGTTCAAACAATTCTCCTGCCTCAGCCTCCCAAGTAGCTGAAATTGCAGGTGCCCACCAACTATCATGACTGGCTAATTTTTGTATTTTCAGCAGAGATTGGGTTTCACCATATTGGCCAGGCTGGTCTCAAACTCCTGACCTAAGGTGATCCACCTGCCTCAGCCTCCCAAAGCACTGGGATTACAGGAGTGAGTCACTGCGCCTGGCCCATTCAACAATTAACTGAGCACTTACTGCGTACCAAGAACTGTTTTAGACATTGGGGATGTGTCCCTTCCCTCGTAGTGTTCACATCCTAGCAGAAGAGAGCAGCAATAAACAAGCACACACATAAAGCAAGTATTGCGGCCAGGTACAGTGGCCCACACCTGTAATCCCATCACTTTGGGAGGCTGAGGTGGGTGGATCACCCGAGATCAAGAGTTCGAGACCAGCCTGGCCAACATGGTGAAACTCTGTCTCTACTAAAAACACAAAAATTAGCCGGGTATGGTGGTGGGCGCCTGTAATCCCAGCTACTCAGAATGTTGAGGCAGTAGAATTGCTTGAACCTGAGAGGCAGAGGTTGCAGTGAGCTGAGATCACATCACATCACTCCAGCCTAGGCAAAAGAGTAAAACTCCATCTCAGAGAAAGTACTGCCTGGTGGTGATCAATGCTGTGAAGAAGAATAAAGCAAGGGTGTGATGACAACACTGTTTGGATGGGAAGTCGGGGAAGGCCTCTCCAAGGAAGTGACATTGGGCAGCACCGAATGAAATGAAGGACCTGGTCACCCAAATGTCTGGGGGAAGAACATTCCAGGCAGAGGGGACAGCCAGTGCAAAGGCTTTATCCTCCTGCATGGAAGGGACAGCTCCCTTTTGCCCAGAATTCGTGTGCACCTATCTTGCAACACTTGTGTCCTTTTATCTTGCTTTGTGGGCTTTTTAGGTACATATTCTTATGCTTGTAATATAGGCCCTTTGAAGGCAGCATCTGTATTTGACCCAACTGAAATGTCCCTCACTTGGCTTTGCCCAGTTCTCGACACACAGTAGGTGCTCAGTAAGTAGCCCAGCATGAACAGATGGACAGATAAGTAGGTGTACTGATGAGTGGGTGGATGGATTAAGGGATGAGAGGGGAAGTCAATGGAAGTTTCCAGCCCTCTAGTCCTATCCTGCCTCCTGGGCCTTGTTCCTTTTGTCTGATTCCTTGCCTCCCTTTCTCCTTCATCTCCCTTCTCACTCAGCTTGGCCCTCTCTAAAACCTGACCTTCTCCCCACTCTAAGGCTGTGCCTGGCTTTCGTGGAAAGCAAGTTCAACATGTCAAAGATAAATGAAAATGTACATGGCAGCTATGACTATGGCCTCTTCCGGATCAACTGCACTACTTGTGCAATGTCTCTAAGAGGCACTTGGAAAATCTTTGCCATGTGTACTGTCAAAGTCTGACCAGGGCCCCAGAGTGGGAGAGGTGAGAGAGGATACCAGGCTTACTTTATTTTCTTAGCTATTTAAATCTTGATTCTAGGTCAGGCACAGTGGCTCAGAATCAAGAACACAAGCCCTGGCTCCCTGTGATTTCATCCTTGACCCAACCAATCAGCATTTCCTGTTCCCTAGCCTCCTGCCTGCCAAACTATGCATAAAAAAACCCTGGCTTCCAAATTTTCAGGCAGACTGATTTGAGTAATAATAAAACTCCAGTCTTCTATTTCTGTGGTTCTGTGCTTATTAAGTGGTTTCTCTGTTTCAATAATGCTGTCTCAGTAAATTGGCTTTTCTGGGCAGTGGGTACAATGAACCCACCAGGTGATTACACTGCTCCACCACGTAGCTAATTATGATACCTACCCCTATCAGACACTATCAGCTCCAATTTGGGCCTATTCTTTGATTTTTTTTTTTTTAATTGATCTGTACTTCTCACTCGAACCTCCAACCTCCCACATCATCTGATTCTCACAAATACACATACATGATTCAACAGAATCACGTAGGGCAACCAGGGAATTCTTCCTAAGAATTTCATACTAGACTGTTAATGGCTTAGTGAGTTATACTTTTGTTTGCCTATTTTAAACTCCTAGAAAAACTTCTTAAGTCAAAAGATCGTGGTTATTTTCCGCAAGCTCAGTAGGTAGCGCTAATACTTAGTACCCTACCACCCTAACCTCCCTCAGGAGTGAAGATGAAGGTGGCTGCTATAAACATGTTCCTACCCTTCCATCCTGTCAGCCCATTTTGGGACTTTACCCTAAACATGCACTTGAATGGAAGCCCTAAACTCAGGGATCTTGGCGGTGGGGCTGGAGGAGGGAAATAGACTCAGAGGCTGGCACGGGGCAGGAAGAGCGACTGCCCGACCCTCAGCGCCGGCCCCGCCCCTCGCCTGCGCCTCTTTTAAAAACCGCGGACGTGGCCGGGCGCGGTGGCTCACGCCTATAATCCCAGCACTTTGGGAAGCAGAGACGGGTGGATCACGAGGTCAAGAGATCGAGACCATCAAGGTCAACATGGTGAAACCCCGTCTTTACTAAAAATACAAAAAATAGCTGGG